ACTACATCAAAAGAGTCCGAGCAAACTATACAAATAACTCAACTGAAGAGGTTGAGCCAGCCAAGACAAATGGTGGTGTCACAGAAAAGAAAGGCCATAGTCGTACAAGTCCTGTTACGCATTCTGAGCCTGTGAATGGTGTCCCAAAAATGGTTGATGATTTCATCAACAAACCCCAGAGTGTTCAAAATGTTACTTCAGCTTGGGTCTCTGACTACAAGCAACGCTCTCCAACAAAGGTTGAACCAATTGCAACTGATGGTGGCGTCACCACACCACCTAATACTCCAAAAATCAATGAGTTCTTCAACAAACCTAGGTTGGGACCTTTGGATGCTACATATTGGCGCCAAACGGCTCAAGTAACTCCTGCATATGGTTATGGTGGTGACTTGGCCAACAAGGCAGGACAACCTAGAAATGAACCATTTATGATCTCTAGTGGGGAATGGTCTGGGCCAAGAAGTCAGGTAACATGGGCATCACCACCAGAGGCCTCTTCCACCAATCCAACAAATGGTATCAACACAGCCATAGAGTACCCAATGAAAATTGAAAAACCTTCCTCACCAGTGATTAATACTCCTCCTGCAGGTTCACAAGTTGCGAGGCCGGTCTCGGCAGGATGGAGAACAGATGGCTATGCCTCAACCATTGATGGCAGAGAGGCTGCAAGGAGATATGCCAACTTCGACTTCTCATGTAGGTACCCAAAAAATGAAGCTTACAAAGCCACCATTGATAGCAGGGAGGCTGCAAGGAAATATGGCGGCCTCTTCCCTTCGTACCCAAAAAATGAAGATTGCAGTGCCAACTTCAACTTCCCACCTAGGTACCCAAAAAATGAAGCTTACAAAGCCACCATTGATAGCAGGGAGGCTGCAAGGAAATATGGCGGCACAACTGTGTGAAAGTAAGAAATTAACATATGGCGAGAACTTTAATTAGTGATGGGTTATGTTATATTAAGTTAAGAACTAAAGTGTTTCATAAGATGGTTAAGTTATACTTATATTTTTTGCCTTAGGTGATGAATCAACTGGTTAAGAGTATAACATTTCAAATTAGAAATTTTAAGTTCAAATTTTATATCATATGAAAAAATATTTGAAAATAGGAGTGGATTATTTCTTCCTATATAACTCGTCAATATAACCAACGACCTGTTAGTTCGAGTGGGAGGAGTTCGATTTCTCTTAAGTAAAATCTTGAGTTTAAGTATTGTGAATGGAAAAACAGGCATTGAGAGAGCTTCCCCTTAATAAGGTCCGACGCAATTCAATTTCGAATTAGTCAAAATACAATATGATTATCGGATACTAAGAAGTTAATATAAAAAAAAAACTCGTCAGATATTCTTAAAAAAAAAAATTCATGTTTTTTTTTTTTTTTTTTTTGTTAACTCTATTAAGAAAAGCCAATTTTGGTATTGTAATATTATAAGGATGTGCTAATAAATATTGCTCATAACTTCTGCTATAATAAGCTTTTCTTATGCTTATGGATCCTATGAAGCAATTGCATTATACATCAACTAATTATTTTTCTTTTTCTTTTGCCCTGAAAGTTTTTGTTTTGTTTTTTCTTTTTTCTTTTTTCTTTTTTCTTTTTTCTTCTTTCTTTTGCCATCTAAAAGTTTTCATTCTTTAATTCATGATATACCAAATGAATATATTCAATAAATAGTTATTAAACTTTAGGAATAAATTTAAACAATGGTAATTCAATTAGTTTGTAATTAGCAACTCAATACTCATCCTTGCAAAAGTATTTTTTGAGCGACCCATGATCCATGCAAATTGTGGTTGTCTCAATGCAGCTAGT